GTCACTCTTTCAGGGATGAAGATGTTCTCATCCTTGATAGAGAGGAACGTTGGTTTGAGAGGAGTAAAGGATGCCATCTTTGTGAAGAAAAACCAGCCACCATTAAACAGAGGTGGAGGCCTGTGTGTCCAGTTGTCCTCCTCCTGCAACGCTGTTATTGTAAGTATGACTCAGCCCACTGTGAGCAAAAGGTGTGAATCAGGGCCCCAACGATAACCAACACAAAGAGGGAATAAAAAACAAAACAAGGGGACTTTGAGCCCCGCCTGCATTCACTACATACACATAACACGACACCTAAGAACCACAGCATCCAAACCAATAAGTCAGGTGATGGGGCACATGACCCTCTATGAACAATAGAGCTAATCAAGCCTATTGTTAGACGATGGCCCTCTTTTGCATGTGACTAACCTGTTTGTCCATGTGGAGGCAATGCTTATAAGGCTGAGTTCACCTGAAACTCATCAGACTGAAGAAGTCTCTTGAAGGAGAGACGAAACATTTCACTAAAGAACCATCCAGAGGACCTACTTATTCTTTCTTTTTGACTGAAAGTAAAGCATTTCCACATTGCCTTTTGTTAAACCCAGACCTCAAAAAGTAATAATCCCTAAGTTTAGATGAATTTGTTTGTTTTATTTTTTGATGGAAAAGTGTGTGTGTACCTGCTGGAGGTGTTGTAACATTAAACGGCAGGCTCTCAACACAACCTTGTGTGTTACATCCTGTGATCCAGAAGCTGTAGTTTGTGTAAGGTTGTAGGTTGGTGACAGACAGCCAGGTGCCCGATGCTCTTCCTCCATCCAACACACCATCACCAGCTAATGAACCAAAACAAACAAACAAAAAAAAAAAACAAAACAGAGGCATTTACATCTGGTGAGGCAAAATCTGGCTATGTCTTGCTCTGGTTATTTTTTATGGGACACGTAGAAACAGCACAGACTGATGATTTAGTCATTAGAAACAACACAGATGACAAAAATGAGAAAAGGCAAACATGAGAGTTCATGAGACACAAATACAGGCAACATCCCCACTGTAAACGGATCCAATTTGTGTTTGTGAAAACATTATCACACAAGTACACACTCAAAGTTATCTTACAAACTGATACAAGTAGTTTCCATCAAATAAGCAGGAAGGTTTGTGGAACACTGTTTCCCTTCTCCATCAGCCCCTCTTTTATCCTTCCTCTTCTGTTAGAAACAAATCAAAGCATTGTTCATGTTTTGTGTATGTGAGACTGAAAAAAACTGTTAGTGAGTATGCACAACTTAAAGTGTGTGTGTGTGTGTGTGTGTGTGTGTGTGTGTGTGTGTGTGTGTGTGTGTGTATGTGTATGTGTATGTGNGCAAACGTGTGTGTGTGTGTATGTGTGTGTGTGTGTGTGTGTGTGTGTGTGTGTGTGTGTGTGTGTGTGTAGGCTCAACATTCTTCATAGTCTTGTTTTTCCATATCCACTTCTTTTGTTTTGTTGGTCATTCTCACACCATTTCTGTTTTTATATTACATACTGATTTTACATGCAGACACTTTAATACGTCTATGGAAATATAAGCTCCTCATCACCCCTTTTTATTTACTGCAGTTCTTTTATTATATAGTAGTTCCTGCTGTCCGTCTTTGTTCTTTAGCTTCCATGGTTTTGCTCTACGTTCCAAGATCATCTCCAATCTAAAGTCTCAGGCAACATCAAAATACCTCATCTTTTCCACACCAGTCCTGTTTGATTACCTCTTCTCTCACTTTCCCATTTCATGCCCGACTTTCAGTACAAGTTTGCTTTCTTGGTTGTGTGTGCGTATGAGTGTATATGAGTCCATTTCTACCCATATCCTTGCACCCTTCTCAATTTTGTGAAAGTTTTTTTTTTTATAGAAGAAAAAAAACACTTGGTGCTTTTGAAATTGGCAATACAATTATTGATCTCTCAGGAAAACAGCAGCAGGTTCTGTGTTTCAACATATCCACATATTTGGTTGGTACACAAACGAGGACCAGATGATTCGGGTGGTGATATTTGCAGCATAGAACTCAAAACTTTGTCCAAATAACAATTTACGCAAGTAAGCAGATTTAAGACCTAATAAAATAAAACTTTTTTCACACCAGTTCTAAAAATCAAGAATTCCCAACAGGGGCGGAGCCAGGGGGTGGCCATGGCCACCATAGACAAATCTTTGGCCACCCTATTGGCCACCCTGCTTTACACACCCCTTCCACAGTGAAACAACCTTTAGGGGTGTAACAATCCTCCTGAACAGTTGGTGGCAGTGTTTAACAGTTTGAAACATCACCAAGCTCTATCACTGAAGAAGAGTAATGACAAGGAAGTGATGGTTTTCTTTATATACAGAACCTATGCCTGTAATCTGACTTATGGTGCCAACTTTTGGACTTATGGTGACAAATGTTTGTTTTTTTGGTCACCATAACACACTGTCTTTTTATGTTATGAAGGCTGCATGATGCTCTGTGTTTGGTAATGAGTTGGGCTATCACTAAATCAGAAAAAGTGAAACACTTCTCTAAATTCACTAGGTAAAATTTATAATGTTAGTTTTAAACATGCAGTTGAGGGTCATCATTATTTGGCACAATGGCATGTGTTGCAATTAAAAATAAATCAATAAACAATATAAAAATAAAAAGCACCCCTAAAGTCATTGGATTTGATAAACTGTGTCACATTAATTAATCTTATCTCAGCTAAAGCAGTGAGTTTAAAAACAGGATGATGGAACTAGTTTAATGAAAAATCTGTCTCTGAAATAATTAAATCAAGTGTTAATTTAAGTAGGTAAAAGTATGTTTAACAACCTGGTAAAATACACCAGAACGCAGGAAATGGCATCTATTTCGTCCAAAATTTTCTGGGGGAGGACCCCCAGACCCCCCCCAACAGTGTGTCCCTCCACTTTTAAAATGGTTCTGATGCCCATGTTTATAAGGTACTCACTGCCTGTATAAAGACATAATGAAATGACAAAAACACAAATATCTGTGGTAAACTTTCAAGTAAAAAAAATCATGTAATTTTCCTGGCCACCCCTGAGAAAAATGTCTGGCTCCGCCACTGATTCCCAACAAACTGATAAAAAAAGGAAAATTAAAGTAACAATACTGAAAGATCAAACAATTTCATTTAAAAATTCAAGTAAACCTCTAAAATTAACAATATATTTAAAGATAAAATCTCATTCTAGTATTTTAAATGAAAGCGATGACAGGTGTAAGGGGGGCCCTGTTTCGTATGATAGGCAGGTTAGTATCTCATAAGGGAAAGAGTGTTAAATCTTTTGTGAAATACTTTGCAGAGTACTTTATAAAACAGTTTAAAGACTGTACACATTGTGACTAATTAACAACATTTAAGATAAAAATTTTTTTGTGGAATTCAAGTCACTTTGCAGCAGGATATCTGAAAATAAAAATGTAATACAATGGTAATATTATGAGGGGTTTCCAAACTGTCAAACTCCCCTGTGCTTCATTGTGAGAGACAGAGTGGATGCATGTGTCACCTTCGCTTCTGTAGTACAGTGTGTAGCTGAGGTTCCCGTTTGCTCTAGGAGGGGCTGTCCAGCGGGCTCGCACAGACCTAGAGCTCTGATTGGTCAGCTCCAGCAGCATAGGGCCTTCAGGGGCCATCTCTAATGTGTGCATCTCCACCTGATTTACATTTACATGAGACATTTGAAAAGAACAGATGTGGATTATAAGGACAGATAAAGCACAAACACTTTATTTTAATTCTAAATGACATAAACTGTTAAAGAACATCAAATGAAATCTGCCTTTATTCATTTTTTCTGCTGAATTTATTTTACATGTTTTTAATTCACAGCAATTTGCTTTTATTTTTATAACTATGCTCTTTTTACAGTTTTCTCTGCTGCTCTGTGCAAACCTTCCACCTCATCTCTCCCTACTCTTTGAGCATTTATTCAGTCCACATTATTTACATCTTTTATCCCTAAATTATTCATCGACACAAACTCCTCTATAATCCTCTTCCCACCATTTATTTATTGACCCTTTTTCTTCAGCTCATCCTTTCCCATCATGCTCCACTCCTTGTTTTCTGCACAGTCAGCTATTTTTCAGGGCGTTTAACAAAACACAATGTCCGTATCGGAAATATGCCCCAAAATCCGTACTGTCGTTAGAAACGTCGTTGAGAATGGAGTGGCATTTCCAACCAAATGTCACTGTCCCCACGCAGCCCTCGTTATTGAGTTGAGAGAATCGATCACCTTTATGACTCAAGTGACACACTTCACACACAGACATGCACCCACAGCACACATACCTAGTCTATCTGAGGAGACTCACATCTGCTTCTTGTCCTAGTTACAGCAACACTTTGGCCCCTAAATATCTGCTCTTTTCCCCTTTATTAGCTCATTCATTTCACCAAGTGAAGACAGATTATTCACTCAAAAGAGGATTTTATTTAAAGACAAAAACAAAAAAATATGTCACAGCTGATTCATAAAAAAAGAAAGTTTATCCTCTTAGATCAATAATACATACATTGCAATCACATACCAAGCAAAAAAAAAGGTTTTGCAATTTTAGGCACAAAGTAGGTTTAATAAGAACAGATTTACTGACCATTGGTCCTTTGCCACAGCCTCGTGCTGTACAGGCCTGCAGCCTGATTACATGTTCGCTCCATGGAGAAAGTCCCTCCACCACAAAAAACCTCTGGGAGGAACTGGAGTTTAAAATAAGGACTCCATCCAGCCAGAGGCCATAACTAGTTATTACACCTGCAGAAAGAGGACATGCAATTATGAAATGCAAGAAAAATAAATAAAAACAACTAATGAATGTTTTTAATTTAAATGTTTGATGACAGTGTATGCCTTAAAATTTTAAGTAATCTGTTTTTAGTGGGACTGCTTTTGTTTAAAGAGGTTTGAGTGTTTATTATTTTAAAATAAGTTTGTTGTACACATGTGACATGATTAGGGACGGGTACCGAATTTGATACTTTTTTATGCACAGACCGAATTCTGTCGGTACTACTGAGAACCTATTCACGTAACATCAAACGGTACCATGTTTCGGTACCTAAATGCATCATTGCGACTGTATTGGCATAAGAGTGATGAGTTTTCTATGCTTTTCCTGAACGGAGCATCGCACAAGAGCGTGATGACGTCAGCAGCCGCTGCTTCAGTAAACAGAGCTCGGTCTGAAGGTAGCATGAAAGTGAGCCTTGCAGCTACTGAACTCGAACAGACCGCCTCTGAATTATCTGGTGGGTTAATTATCTTGTGAACACGATGTTCGCTTGCTCAAAGTAAATAAAGTACCACCATTTTTTAAAATTTCACCCACCATTAAACAGAGACCGGCAGAGGAAAACAACAGAGAGGCTTCCTGACGGTCCGAACGCGTCTGACCTAAAGAGCACAAGCAGCCAACTTGAAGTGCTGGACACGTTTTAGATGCTCAAAACTTAGCTTGAATACCTTTTATTTATTTTAACTCCATTATTTGATTTAAACTTATTTACCTTCCATGGACCTCCATCACATAATTTTTCTAGCGGGGAAATGACATCAATAGAAACACGTGGAGCTGGATTTTAATTTGTGCAATAAGACAAAACAGTTTTGTTTTCAAGAGTTTTCACCTTAAAGAAATAAGTTACACAACTGATGTTACAATACAAAGAGTTGGATGTTGTCTTGATATTTGTTAATTTTATATATTGAGAAATATGTTTAAAAAATAAAAGGTAGAGGATATTGGTACCGAATTGATTCAAATGCCAAAGGTACCCATCCCTAGACATAATACAGTTAATTTATATGATATAATCATAAAGAATGGATAGAAATGGCTTTTTCTTTGTCAAAATTAATCAGCCCTATTTTATATTACAAAGAAACATGTGGATAACTGGACACTGAATTAGAATGAATCATTTTTACATGTTTTTAAGACACAACGAACATATTTGGCATCGTTTTTAGTCAAGGTCCATGGAGATGTTCCTGGTTGCATTGATTACCCGTGCTGTCTGACTGTGTCCAGACTGTGATAAGTGACAATCATAAAGTAAGCTTCACAGTGTTGCAGTGCACTCTGGTTCACTGTATTACAATGCAAATGAAAACTGACTTAGAGGCTCCGGGCCTGCCAGTCAGTGTGTCCTACAGATGAAAACAGCACTGAAATGACAATTGTAACCATAGGCGTTACAAGGATGAAGGCTCTGAGAAGGACAGCGGAACACGAACGAACATGCACACACACAAATGAGGGCGCAAAAAGGTGTGGACACACAAACACATTCAAAGATGCGCACATAGGAACACATATACAGTAAAAAAAAGGGCATTTAGATATAAACTCTCTCTTGCTCATAAACTTGTACTTCCTCACACATACACCAACACCAGCACAATAATTACATGACATTACACCCACCTGCTATAAAAAAAAGAAACAGTACAGTGCCAAATGTGCTTTTCCTTAATAAAAATGCATACAAGGGGCTCAAAAGATCAGTGCTAAGAACTAAGAGCATATTCTGCTTTAATCATGTGTGGGTTTTATTATTGCTCAATGCAGATGTACACACCTACCAGGAAAATGAAGACACAAAAACCCCACGGATGCAAGTTATCTGGGAAGCTCTTAATGTGTCCAATCACATGCGTGTGCTTGTGTGTGTGTGTGTGTGTGTGTGTGTGTGTGTGTGTGTGTGTGTGNGTGTGTGTGTGTGTGTGTGTGTGTGTGTGTGTGTGTATGAATAAGCCCATATCAGTATAGGCTGTAATAAAGACAGGTTGGGAAATGAAGCAGCGAATGCATAACAGGCTTATTTCCCCTCTTTGTCTGCGTGTTGCCCTGACTTAATCCCCGGGAGGATTATCCCCCACAAATCCCTGCGGAATTGGGGAGAAAGGAGGGGTGAGACAGAGGAAAAATAACACAGGATCTCCTTCTGTAACCCATCACCATCATCATCATTATTGTTGTCATTCATTTATTTAATAATAAAAAAAAGTTAATAAAAAACAAAAAGGACTGAGCAGTTCTGCCATTTTTTTAAATAAAAAAAATAAAGAATTTAAGCGTGAGATAATAAGGTGATTAATATTAAGTGTTTCCTTACATATTTCTGTCATCAGAGGAGAAAACCTTTCAGGAATTTATCCAGGCTAATAAGAGAACACATCACAGGGTTTATGAAGCAAAATGCACTTATGCGGCATTAAGCGTAAAACACACATGACTCACATCACACACATACGTTACACAACTACACATACACAACATGCATGACAGTAACATTTGATAATTTGTGGCACAGTGTTTTATGTTGAGAGTCTGTTTAATGGGCTGGGAAATCCTCTTATAGTTTTTAGAGCTTATTTAATTTGACTTAGTGGGATATGCTATATGCCTGCTAATATAGTCTTTTATATTTTATGGTGGTGTTTGGAGTCCGGTGTGTGGGAGATAATTTCACTTTTTAATAATTGCTGAAGTAAATAATTAAAATGAATTTTATTCTGACATGAACACTTTTATAAAACACTGTTTTTCTCTGTTTATACGTAATAAAAAAGTTTTGACATTTTATATTGTTTGAGGTGATTTATTTAGCCTGCACCTGTAAATGAGTAAAGGTGACATCATATGATGAAAAAAGGTAAAAGAGCTGGAAGTCATATATGTAGATGAAAAAAAACGTCCCTATCAAGTGAGTTAAATATTAAAAGAAAATATCTTCTTGGTTTTATTTCAATGTGAAATGATAAAAAGCAGTCTTTGGAATGAAGAGAAAGAAAGCTGTAGTACAGAAGTAGGAGTGTCTTTTATTAATAAAGAACACATTCTGCTCTTTCTCACAGAAATATTGTTAAAACTGGATTCCTACATTATTCTCTTCTTTTGACAATGCACAAGTTCCAAATATGAAACAATAAAAAGTTTATGTTTTGTACCAAGTAAAATGTCTTATAAACCTTTTGAGCCTTTGTAAGTTTTGGCAACTAAACGACACATATAAGAGCAGTAGTAAAAAGTCAGGCGACTTGGAGCAGTAACTGTGAAGGTATGCTCTTCCTGGCTGCAGTTCTCTCTTCAGTCAAAAGGGAGCACTTTTCATCCACTTAAAGGAGCTCGGTAAAGCTCAGTCGTCTCGCTCCCACTCTCTCTTAATCCTAATCTCAAACAATTTGATTTCTTAACCCTTTTCTGTACCTTTTTCTTTTATAAATTAATTTAATATTCTATTATTTGAAGTTCACTCTTGTTTCCTTATTTTTCTTTACCTATATTATTCTGTCCCACCTGGTTTTTCACCCGGCTACTTTTCTGTCCATCTTATTTAAATCTCTTCACTGCATATAAACAACAACAAAAAAAACTCCTTTAAAAAAAATTTACTATGTAAATGATCGGCAGCCGGAGTGTGTATTTATTGGCTCAAGTTTGATGTTGCCTGAATCATGCTGGTAAGAAATGTTTGTGTAATAGATGCTTCCTGTCGTTGTACAGTGTGTGTGTTGAATGCTCTCTCTTACCATTTGGAGTGTCAGGACAAGTCCAGCTGATGTTAAGTGCATGTGGGGACAAAGGGATGACCAGCGGTGCAGGAACGTTCTCTGGTGTGCTCTCCTCAGTCTGAACCTGGCTTGGGGGGCTTAACGTGCACCCACCTCCTGTGCATGCCTTCTCCACAGACACACACACACACACACACACGTTTAAATCCACACAAAAGAAAGGAAATAAAAAAAATGTATGATTCTTATCAAAGTTATTATATATACATAGATATTTTTAAAGGAAGGCATAAGGTCCTCACAGCCACTCTGATGGTGTAAGAAGTTCCAGGGGTCAGGTTGCGGAGCGTGAGTTCTTCCAAAACTTCTGAGCTGTTATAGGCTAGCACAGGTTCTGCACCATCATGTGACAGGAAGACGGAGTAGAACTCCAAAACGCCATTTATCTGAGAAGGACGTGACCACCTGGAAAGAACCGAGGCAACAGCAGAGATTGGAAACAAATTCAACCCGTGCACCACTTTGAAACTCTCTTTTGTGGGACCTTTTATGTGCATTTTTACAGAAAACATTTTTACTACTACTTACTTACTACTACTTTAGATTATAAAACATTTTTTGATGCAATCTGTATCAGAATACATTAGAATGGTCATTCGGCAAGCTCATGTTTCATATGGTTTTTGCTTTGTTCCACTTATTTTTTCTCTGTTATAATTTTATAGACTTCAATCATTTCTACTACAAACTTAAAACATACGACAGTGGAATATTTAAAATAGTAGTGTCTAATAAAACTATATAAACTCAAACATTTTACACTCAATGCAATCATTAATAATTATTAAAATATTGAGTGATAAAATGGCAACCCAATCCAAATACAAACTGTGTTCATTTAATCCATTGTTCATTTATTTTGCTCTTTAAATTAATAAACGGTCCTGGCTTTCTGTGTGGCCCGGCCTTCCAGATATGATGGAGAAAAGGAGGAACTTTTTAAAAAGTGATAAATTCCTTTCTTGGTTGCTCCTGTTAAATTACACTATTTGAATGACTGATGGGAGTCTTTTACCACACAATTAGCCCCTGTGGCAAACATGTCACATTTATTATAAAATTTACATGCTGCTGATTGGCAGTGTGATGCATGCCCACTTTTGAGAAACTGAAGCAAAGGGGAGTTGTAATAATCTATATCATAACTCACAGTGTGGCAAGAATTTCCACAAAGCCTTGGCTTTAAAAGTGCATTCAGAAAGCTGAGTGAAAGAGTCAGGTTTTCTGTCAGAAAGGTACAGTATATGTAAACCACACATTCATTATAAAACAGACGTGAATTCATGACAACTGCACTATTGCTTTCTTATGTTCTTTTGGTTGTATTTAACACAACTAAATCAGTGCTATCAAATAATCATAGAAAATGGTCTAACAGTGAATATACAAAGCTTTTTGCTAAACTTCAAACACAATCACAAAGTTTGGATTTGGATTTAATAGAAAAACACAGAAAGTTGTAAAGTTTGTCAGCATGTTGATATGATCTAAAAAAGTGGGGTTTAGCTTCACAAAAAGTGCTTTTTACACGTCACAATGACATTTGCAGCTAACCTGAAAAGCCAGCTATAGGTCTTTATTGTTTTTGGCCTGTTTGGTTTTCCAGAAGACTTCAACCGTGAAAACACGTGATGAATACTTATAATCACTCACATCAAAAACAGAAAAAAACAACCAGAGTGACTATCACTTCAGAACTCACCATTATCAGAAACAAGTTATTAGGGGAGGAAACTTTCACTATCTCATGATTTGATTCAGATTTTTTGGGACCACGATTCGATTTAAAATCAATTTTTCATTCAAAACTAATCATGTGAGCCCATTTGTCGTGTTCTTAAAGTGCTTCATCTTCATTTTGCAAACCTTGGATACAGTGAATCTCCTGTCAAACTCAGACTCAATCAGTAAAAAACAAAATGAGCCCAAATCTTTGCATTCAATGAAGACCGGATTAGTTGAATCTCTATTTCTTCCAGTTTTGTAGTTTCCTCTTTGTTGTGGTGCTTTCTGCACATGCATACGTTCCAGAACCAGCTGCGAGGTGATGCCAGGACATCCCATGTATACAAAATGAAGGCTGACAGCCATTGGATTTGCTTTATTTATTTATTTATAAAGATCAATTATGGAACATTTTAAATCTATTCTGAATCTTTGTAAATGAGAATAACGATTCTGATGTGAATCAATATTTTGGTACACCCTTACAACTTATCCATTTTTTTTTTTTACCCACTTCTCTTTTCAGGTACAGCTGGTGCAACCTCCAGAAGTCACTGTGTTTGTCAAAAACATTGTTGCTTTGTGCAGAGTCAGATATTCAACTTCTGAAAAGTTGAGTATTGGTTGGTTAAGTTTTCTTTTTTTAAGTGAAGAGAAAATAGAGACAGAGAGAAAAACATAGGGAGAAGTAATTAGAAAGACTGAAATAGCGATTAGAAGAATATTAAATATACACCAACAAAACACAGGACCACACACCCAACATCTGTCCGCTCACCTGAAAAATAAATGGATAAATACATGGAGGGCATATATAAAAATAAACACATACCCATACATATATAAAGATATACTGTACATACATACATGCCTACATTCATAAATATTGTCAGTATATACACACAGACATATGTACACACTCAGTGACCAGTCAGAACCCCCCGGATCAGAACACCTGTTTGTGAGCAGTTGTGAACATGTGTGTATATACAAGATTTCTCCAATGGAATATTTAATAATGACTGTGGAGGACCGAGACCCAACCCCCAAGACACGAGGCAGACATAGGGAAGACCAGAGCCCAAGGGCCCGAGAGGRATCCCGAGCACAGAGCCCCAGGGGGCACCCGCACGGGAAGATCTGCCCACCCACCCCCTAGATCAGACCATAGGGGAGAACCGGGAGAGTCCCCCCAGTGACCACACGTACAGCCCCCGGGGCCAGCAGCGACAAACTCATGGGCCCCACCGGCACCCGCCATACCAAAGCAGATCCAAGAAAGGGCACAGAGGTCCGGGCCCCGAGGGCGCACCCCCTCCAGGCCAAAGCCCGACAGGCCCAGAGGCCCCGAGCCCCAGCAGGCAGTCACCAGGCCAGGCCGGCACACACCCCAGCGCCCAGCCCCAGACCCAGGGAACCCCCAGCATGCCGGCGGTCAGCCACACACCCCACCGGGGGGCCGAGCAGCAGCGGGCCTCCAGATAAACCAGCAGGAGGGGCAGTCCAGACCGCAGCCTGACAAATAGGTTGGTTAAGTTTTCCATAAAGTGCCCCCAGGTTACTAGAGATGACTCAGTGAAACCCACTTTCAGTGTTTAAGCAACATATGGCTTTTCTGCATTTGTTTTTTTGTAAATCATCAACAAATGTAAAAAACTAATCATCAGTAAGTGAGTTAAGTAGGACTCAAAACTATTGTGAGCTATGAAAGATTGCTGAAATCTAATGTAGTTGTCCATATGTGAAGGACTTTTTGGGATATTCTATTCATTTATTAGAACATTATTCATACACCACATGGTTTAGGTGAAAAACATATGGTTACAATGTAAACAACAAATAATTAAAGTGGGGGAAATGAAATAAAACTCAATACATAAAATTCAGAAATGGAATAAAAATCTCAGCAACATAAATGTTCAGATTTTTCTCACAGTCAGAAGAACGCTATTGATCAGGTGTGATCCCTCAACCTCAGTCTATTACTAATGTGCTAACAAGGCAATACAAAGCCTTCCCACACCTGCTGAGTGCATTGTTCAAAAATCCCCTTAAAAGGCTAAAGAAATACTGCTTCACAGACAGGATCACTGAAAAATGCTGCACTGAATATTTTTCTTAAAGGTTGAGTTTTACACAAAATCTGTTATGTTATGTTATTCCTTTACCAAAAACATACCCAGAGCGTTGCTTTGACTCATTCTCACTCAAGTACACAACCAAATGCATTTAATGACAAAAAGTGGATTTTACATATGTCTCCTTTAATATCAACTCTATAAATGTGCATTAACTAATAATAATCTAAAAAAGGGTGCAGCAATCTGTTACTTTAATTCTACAAGTCTATATAAGGATGTGAGTGTTGCTGTCTCTAACCCTGCATCTGGCTGTGGTTAGGGCTCTGAAAGGGAAATTTACATAAGTACAACACAAATACCTGAGCATGTGTGAACATGTTTGTTTGTTTGTGTGCTTACTCCACAAATATAGTCCGAGAGTCCAGCAAAGTAAGAGTGGGTGCATGCAGGGGTCCAGGAGGAAGCTGAGAGGTCAGAGCTGTAACTTGTGAACTGTTGGTGCAACCCACTAAAGTGCAGGCACTCAGTGCCAGGAAGTGGGTGGAGTACACATCAAGACCTGCACCACAAACACACACATACACATTAAAAGTTAAACACTGCAGAAAACCAACCCCACTCAGAGCAACAATAACAGAACCTTGAAATAAATGACATTAATTGTAGATTCCTTGATGTCTCCAATACTCCTGCTCCACCCTGCTCTTTCCTCTCGTGCTGTTTCTCTTCCTCTGCACATCTTGTTTCAAAACTCTTCTCTATCCGCCTCACTGTTGCAATCTCACTCAGTTACACAATTTGTTCTTGCACATAGCATATAATTACTACGTCTATAATCCCTCCAATCATAGTGAACATCAGACACTCTGTATTAATATCCCAGCATGGATGATGTGTGCTCTCATCCCTTCATTAACTTACAAAGACACACACTCTTTTGAACAGTGTTCATTTAAAAATCAAAATAAGTTATAATCTACTCTGCCCATATAAAATGATGTATTGGATTACTCTCCAGTCAATGTGCTTGCAAATGAGCTTGTGTACATCTCCACTAACTATGTATTTGTGTATGCTGCTTTGAATAAGCCTTCCACTGCCTGTGTGTGTGTGTGTGTGTGTGTGTGTGTGTGTGTGTGTGTGTGTGTGTGTGTGTGTGTGTGTGTGTGTGTGTGTGTGTGTGTTCATTTTACAGCACTATAGTCTCAGTGGTGCGACATGTGTTTCATGCCTTCTTCAGGTCTCTTCAGTGAAAGCATTCAGTCCAAACTGTGTGTACGGATGTGCACTAATGTTTAGTTTTCTTTGTTTTTCTGCTGCTTCATTTTCATGTGTGTTTAGCTTTCTTTTTCAAAGTGCTATTCCCTTGGTAAGGACTGAGACACTCTTTTCTCTTTCAAATGCTAATCCTCCCAATTCATTTTTTTACACTTTCCCCCATTTCTTTTACACAGAAGCCCTGCCTCTCTTACACACACAAACACACACACTCTTCCCCCTCGTTACCAGTGATGTTGTGTTGTCTGTTTCTTCCTCTGTACGCCAGTTTGTTGTTGTGAAAAAGGAGGAACTCTGTAATAACTCCATTGGGCCTATCATAGGAACAAAAAAGTGAAATGAGGGCAATATTATATGAGCTACATATATTAATTTACACTAAACCAAGTGCAAAACTGAAGGCCTGCAGGCCAAATGTGGCCCACCACAGCATTTTATGTGGCCTTCATCAGCTTCAAAGATGTAGTATTGTCTTCAAATAAACACATGCTACTTTAAAACCAGCACTGACCCTAAACTACATCTCCCATTATGTTGATTGCATTGCAGTAGGATGGCATCCCACCATCAGGTGGAAGTGCACAAGGTGCAAAAGTAGCCAGCAGTCAGCAAAATATACAGTGTAAAATCTCCATTTTGCTGCATTTTTGCCAGCTATTTCAGTATTTAAAAGAGGATGTGTTAAAACAGTTCCTATGCACAAAATACCATGTAGAGCTCAGTTATTGTTTAATAGTCCTCAGCCATGTATTGTGACACTTCATGTTCAGTTGAAATTAAACAAAAAACATCAAAGTTAATTACAACTGGCCCTCTGAGGGAAATGCTCATGGGGCCCTCTGTGAAAATGAGTTTCATACCTCTGTACTAAACTACCACCTTTATATGATTAATGTTGAATTAGATTTGTAATATAAAGCAATAATTACATCACTTTTATTTGTTTGAAATTTTCAATAGGTAAGCAGGTCAGAGAAGATCATTTTGTGTGTTTTTTACACAACATTAAAAAAGCTCTAGGTCCAAAAGATTAGGTTTTTATTTACAAGTTATATGCAAACAATATCAGCAACAAACATCAACTTGAGGTTTATACATGAGAGAAAAGATGAGACAGTTGAGATTACCTTCCTGGTGGTTCCCAGGTTACAAACAGAGCTGTGGATGATGAAACTGCTGAAGGAGGAAAGACACCTCCTGGAGCTGAAATTGTAGAAAAAATGTACACAGCATATTGAACAACAAATATAGTGGTCAGCACAAGAAAATTAAAATTTTTAATACATTTTGGTGTATGTGATAAAACAGTGGTGGGCACAGTTCAGCTCATCTGCTAACCCACTAATAGCAGAACTGATAGTTTGCTAAGAAGTTTAATGTTTGCATTTATTTTACAATGCATTGACATAACTTCTGCTGTATGTTTTGATAAATTACCCTGCGACTGTTTCATTTCAGCGTCTTGTTACCAAGAACATATTTCAGTGTAATGTCTGTAGAAGTTCATGCAAGAAGCAAAGTGTTCACAAGCCAAAGTAACACAGCAACATCATCCTCAATCTGAGAACGTATGCAAATGCATCTGGAATCTCCTCTTTAATACAGACCAAGACCCGGTCCTAATTCTCACACTTCCACCCTTGTTTAATTCTAATATGCATTTCCACTAAAGGCTTCAAAGTGCGTAGTGTGTCCCTATTCTCCCAAGTGTTTGTCCAAATCTTCTGACTAACGATTTCAATTTTCAGTTTCTCCAGCATCCTTTACAGCAGGGACGTCATTCAGTCACTGACAGCATTTTCTGAGTTTGTTGCAAAATTAAAAAAAAATAAGTGAAACAAATATAAAAATCTTTGCTTTAATCTGGGGCATAAAAATATTTGTTTTTTAGTGTTGTTTCATAGGCTGTAACTTTTCACTTCCTGTTTTACCCTCCCCCGTCTGTCAGGTTTCAGTCAGCAGTTGTAGCTCCGCATCCTGGTAAATAAAACCATCCATTTCCTTAAATTTCACCTCTAAAAATGACATTTTTTTAAAATCTGTGATCTATCAAGCATTTTGAATTATGTTGATGCACGCTGTATCATTATACATTAGTGACCCATCACATCGAAACGAGGATTAAGTCCAAAAGTTGTATATGGAGAAATAGGCAAATATAGTGTTTTGACTAAAATGTTAACAAAAATGGCATTTTGTCAATATATAATGAATAAAAGCCTTATCAATGTATCAGTTGAATGAACTGTCTGAAATATAAACATTAAACAAAATTAGGAAGCACTATTTTGAGCAGTAGTAACAAAAAAACTGATTTTGAGGAAAAACGCCTTAAAATTTTAAGATTTTCCCTGTGAGCTAGCAAAGTTTTGTTTCTTTAAGCTGGAAAATCTCAATATTCAAATATAATTTGAGGTTTCCTCTTTATAAGGACATCAAAAATTCCTCA